GACTTACTTGAAGGTAATCTCAGGTTTGTTGAGCTGTTCTGTTCTACAGTGGAGCCATTAGGCACAGCCTGGCTTCACTAACTAACTTCTTGTCAATACTCTGTTCTCATTCCTTTCCCCTGGCAGCCCACACAGGTAGAACTGTGTGGTAAAATGGAAGCTTTGCATTGCTTACTAAGCTGAGAGCTGCTGAAGCTTTTATTTATTTATTTTTTAATGTAGCTTTCTTTTATCTTTGGTAGCTTTTTATGTATAATTTTAAACATGCAGAAAAAAAAAGATAAGCCTAGTACAAGGACTTTTCTATCCCTTTTAGCCAGACCGTCAACACTTTTATCTTCTTACCTCACATCCCTACATACATCTTAAGTGCTGACAGTAGCTGCAGACAGCATCCCATTTGCTTCTGAATGCCAGTGTGTATTGCCTAAGAACAAACAAAGCATTATTATAACTCACTGTCCATCTTCAGATCTGTCCATGTTCTGAAACACTCCCAGTAATGGCAAAGCTTTGAGGTGCAAGGGTGTCTCCTTTGTTATATTGGCTTAACTCAGAAAAGGTTACTCAGTCATCAATTCCTTGTGTTTCTACAGGACCAGAGTGAGGGCAGCACAAACTACTCAGCCACAATGTCTTCAGAGGTGGAGACTTCGGAGGGGGTAGATGAGTCAGAGAAGAACAACTCTATGGCACCAGAAAAGGAAAACCATACCAAGTGAGTGAGAGCAACTGGTTGCTGCTTATCAGGAGGCCTCAGCACCTGTCCTACCACCTGTCAGTGTGCCTGATTCAGTCTGTTGGTGGTACTAGGTGGTACTATACAGCACTGAGCTGTATAGATGTTTAGTTACTGGGCCCTGCTGCACATTGTTCCTTAGCTTCTCATTAGAATTCTGTCACTGGCTAAGTTATTCCTTTTTTTTTTTTTTTTTTTTTTTTTTTGGTTTTTCGAGACAGGGTTTCTCTGTGTAGTCCTGGCTGTCCTGGAACTCACTCTGTAGACCAGGCTGGCCTTGAACTCAGAAATCCGCCTGCCTCTGTCTCCCAAGTGCTGGGATTAAAGGCGTGTACAACCACTGCCCAGTTATTTCTTATATTTTACTATATTTGCTAGTAAACCAGTTCTTAGGATGTGGGGTGACACAAAATAATCTCCTAAAAAAATAAAATACTGCAGAGACTAGACCACAAGAGAACCAAATTTTTCTGTTCTAACAGATGAGTGTGTGGATACACAGGAGCCCTTCCCGTGTTCTGTTGTCCTTATGATGGTTTTCCTTCCTTACCCATTGATTGATGTAACTTTATCCTGTGTAATTCTGTAATACAAAACTGGGAGGCAGACACAGGTGGATCTTTGAGTTTGAAGCTATCCTGGTCTATAGAACAAGTTCCAGGACAGTCAGAGCTACTTAGAAACCCTGTCTCAAAGACAAAAGAAAAAGAAACCAACCAAGATCTTGGTCTCTGTCTCCCAACTATCTCATCTTCCCACACCTAGGCCCATCCAGCTCTTTCTGGAGTACATTAAGTTTTGGCTCTTCAGCTACTAGGTGGCTACACAAGCAAAGCGTCATTCATTTGGGTGCTTACTAACCAATCCAGGCACTTTTGAGGAGACCATAGTAAACTTCACGACCACTGAGTTTTATGCCAGATTGTCACGTCCTGCCCTATGGTCACTGACAAGGCTCAGGTAGTCAAGCTGGACTGAAATAGTGTCTGAGTAGCTCCTGCTTCCAGTCTCTATCTTGGACCTAAACTGTCTTTTACCCTTTAGTCCTTTCTGGAGAACTAGAAAGGGCTACTGTCTCACAAAAAATTCATCCCGCACAGAATGGCAGACCTTTCTGAGCTCCTGAAGGAAGGGACCAAGGAAGCACATGACCGGGCAGAAAATACCCAGTTTGTCAAAGACTTCTTGAAAGGAAACATTAAGAAGGAGTTGTTTAAGGTTTGTGCCCTTCAGTCAGATGGGTTGCGTTCTAATCTTTAATAAGGGGTTGGAGGTGGGGTAGCTTTAGTCAGCTAAGGAAGTTGCCCTGCAACCACTCTTAAGGAAGAAGCTGCTGAGTCTTTTCTACTTTTTCTTGGAGACAGTCAGGCTACATAGTCCATATGGGCCCTAACCCTGGATCTTCCATCCTTACCTTCCTGAGTACTGGGGATGAAAGGTATGTGCCACCATGCCCAGACATACATTTGTTTTCCTGGTGTTAAGCCATGGCTATCCTAGCCTAAATGGAGTAACGAAAATATATTTGCAAATACTCACTAGAAGCTTCCTAGGTGTTATTAAGTAGTTAAATATATTTAAAAAGGGTCACAGTTGGGTCTTTGGGAACTGGACAAGGGGCTCTTCTCTTGAGCCACTCTTAAAACAGTGGTGGTGGTGGTGTGCTAGCAAGATGGCTCAGCCATTAAGAGCACTGTCTGCTCTTCCAGAGTTCCTGAGTTCAATTCCCAGCAACCACATGGTAGCTCACAACCATCTGTAATGGGATCTGATGCCCTCTTCTGGCATGCAGATAAAGCACTATTCTATAAAATAATCTTTAAAAAAAACAAAACAGAAAAGCATGGTGGGTTCTAGAGCTGCTGGCTTGGCTTAATAGCTCTCTCCCACAATCTTCCGTCACACTCACAGCTGGCCACCACCGCACTTTACTTCACATACTCAGCCCTTGAGGAGGAAATGGATCGCAACAAGGACCACCCAGCCTTCGCCCCCTTATATTTCCCCACGGAGCTACACCGGAAGGAAGCACTGATCAAGGACATGGAGTATTTCTTTGGTGAAAACTGGGAGGAGCAGGTGAAGTGCTCCGAGGCTGCCCAGAAGTATGTGGATCGGATTCACTATGTAGGGCAGAATGAGCCAGAGCTGCTGGTGGCCCATGCTTATACTCGTTACATGGGGGACCTTTCAGGAGGCCAGGTGCTGAAGAAGGTGGCCCAGCGGGCACTAAAACTCCCCAGCACCGGGGAAGGGACCCAATTCTATCTGTTTGAGCATGTGGACAATGCCCAGCAGTTCAAGCAGTTCTATCGTGCCAGAATGAATGCCTTGGACCTGAATTTGAAGACCAAAGAGAGGATTGTGGAGGAGGCCAACAAAGCCTTTGAATATAATATGCAGGTATTAACTGGGCACTACCATGGAGCCTGATCCATGCGGTTATAACCATGGATGCATGAGTTTGATCCTTTTAGCAGTAGTCAAAGCCAGAGATTTCTTGAGAGGCTACTGGTAGCATGACAAATGAGCTCCTACATGCCCTAGAAAAAGGTGAGGGAACCAGTTAGCCATCATGGAGCATGGAGCATGGAGCCGTGTACAGCTCCAGGAGGCCTGGCTTGAGGCCTATGACTAGTGCTGGAAAGGGCAAAGCCCCGGCATTTGAAATGTCTGAAATAGACCTATTTCCCTCTCTCTCACCACAGGATGTTAGGATTGAGGAATGGATAGTTTCCTCATTTTGTAGCAAATATTGATATAAAAACATTGCTTAGTATAGAGCCAGATTCTTTGGGAAGTAGAATAAGTAGGTTTCACAAGTCTCAGGTAGGGCTGATTTTAAGCCATTTCTGTCGCTAGTACCTCAGTGTTGGGAGAGAATAGCTGTGGGCACTCAAGCAGAGTTGTTAACAGCAGTCACCTGAGCTCCCACTAAGAATGTGCAGGATAGTGTTCACTTTTCTGGCTTATGTTCAGCTTGTTTGCAGTCCTGATCAGATGTATCTGGGCTCTAGCTTCTCCATGGGTGATCTGTAGGGTGTAAATTCTGAGTCTCTCTAGTTTAGGGATGGATGGCCTCTGATTATTTCTGCTTCTCAGATATTCAATGAACTGGACCAGGCCGGCTCCACACTAGCAAGAGAAACCCTGGAGGATGGGCTCCCAATACATGATGGGAAGGGAGATGTACGTAAATGTCCCTTTTATGCTGCTCAGCCAGACAAAGGTAGGTTGTGGGTCCTGAACTAACGTTTTCTGGGGCAGGTGTATCATTGCCTTCCACTGATGCCATTGTCTTATATTGTGCTGCATGCAGGTACCCTGGAAGGCAGCAACTGCCCCTTCCGGACAGCCATGACTGTGCTGAGGAAGCCTAGCCTGCAGCTCATTCTAGCTGCCAGTGTGGCCTTGGTAGCTGGACTCTTGGCCTGGTACTACATGTGAAGGACCTGTCATATGTTGTTTGCATCCTACCCCAAGTGACCTCTTCCATCCCCGTCTCCACCTCTGCCTAAAACTACCACCTCAGGTGACTTTTTAAATGCTGGGTCTGAGAAAACAAGCAACCAATAAAAGCCAGACACTAGAGCCTCTGCCTAACAGCATCTTCTCTGCCAGCCAGGTGCACATCAGACAAAGGCTGTCACTCTGTCAACAGCTAATGCACTACTGCAGGTCAGTCTTGGATCTCTGATCTGGCAGTGCTCCAAGACTTCTCCCATTTAGGAGGCCTACGTACACTGTATTTTTAGTAGTACTTGGAACAGTCATTGCCATGCTGGTAGTGACCTGCCCATACACCCAGGCCTCGTCGGAGTCATGCCATCTCATGATGGCTCAATATTCTAGGCCTGTTGACAGTGGAGTGGAAACTATGCATTCCTGCTTCCAAAGCCTACAGAGCTTATTCTGTATAACCAGGATCACCCTAAGAAGCCTATTAGCCTGGTCTGTCTCCATTGACTTATGTACCTGCAACAGCACTCTAAAAACAAACTACACACATTTCCCTCCTTGGTGGGATACGATAGAGTCTCTCAGAAACAGTGGTATGTTGCATACAAATGGACATCCTCTTCGATGACACTCCTTGCCAATTTCCTAGCACTTTCTATTTCCATGTATTCATGCTAAAACACCATAAAAGATCCTTAATATCTGCTTGGACCTGTGATTTTTCAAACTCAAATTCTTTGAGGTTTCATATTTCAGCAGCACATGCTTATACTTAAACAATTCATGGTCTAAAATAGAAATGTGAATTTAAATATTTTTATTAGTTGGATATTCCTATAAAAGTCTTTGTGTGAAAAAATGGTAGAACAACAGGGAAACTCAAAAAGATTTGAGCCCACCACCTTCACAGTTCAGAAGATTGATTTTACTAAGAACTGAGTGCTTAGTGTGTCATTTTCAGACTGTAAGGTCTTGTTTAAGGACAAAAGAGCAATAGCTATTGGTTAAGAGGTCAGTAAGCTAGGACAGGACTCATTCTCAGGTTCTGCAGCCTGGACGTCTAATTATGCAAACAGTAGAAACCAATGCCCTGGCCCAGAACAGCTGGGTTCCCCCAGGGCAGGTCTATATATAATTCTGGTTTGGTGTAATTGGATTCTTAAATGTGTTGATTCCCAGGCTCAGGCTCCTGCCTGCCCCTAAGACTACTGTAGTGTCCCACCCTGTATCTCAGAAAAGAAGGAAGCCAGGCAAGACAGCAGAGGCCCAGGGCAGGGGAGTGAAAGGGCCAATTTAATGAAACTACAAACTGGCCACAGTTCACAGTGCTAGGAGGCCATGCAGTGTTATGAGACCAGGAGAGGGACAGCAGCAGGATACAGCGTCCACACGGCATATTCACAGACCATTAAGACATGGACAGGTTTGGGCTTACACCCTGGGCATGACTCATGTCCCTAGGATACTCCCACCACTTGTGACTTCTTCCTGGTCCCCAGCCCAGTGCCACATCTGTTCCTTCAGAGGAGCTCCAATATGGAAGCAAGTCAACTATGGCAAAAAGGCTGGCACTTATTCCAGAGACCAATAAACCTACAAAGAGGTGCTTCTGATCTGCCATGTCAACAAACCACCAGGCAGAAGTTGCACCCTCACACAGCATAGACACAGAAGTAAACAGGACAGGCTCATGGGCATTCATTCCTTCTGGCCTCAGAGAATACAGGCGTTCACAGAGGTGTGGCCAGAAAGGAGATCTGCACACTGACTGACTCAAGCTAGGTGAGAACAGGGGCACGTTCTTGCCCCAGAGCTTTAAATAGCCCAGCATCCTCTTTGCCTCCTACCAGGCAGTTCTCTGGGGTGTTTCCATACCTGAGAGTTCTGAGGTCCAGGGTTACCAGTCATTCTTTCTTTCTTTCCCTATCTTGGTACCCCAGACAGCAAACCCCACTTAAACCCAGGCCTTAAGACTCTATCTTGCTTAGGTCCACTTAACTTTAGATGACACCCTGACTTAATTCCAGCAGGTCAGGAACAACTGTGGTTCCAGGCACAACTGTCACTGTAGGCCCTAGTCTGGGGACCTGTTGATGCCTCTGGGTGCTTTTGGTCCCAGGAAGAGTAAGGGCCAGCCTGGACCTTATACTTATACAGAAAAGGAGAAATGAGGACCCCAGTTAAGAGAGCCTCTCTAGCTTATCTTCTGAATCTCAAATGTCCGAGTAACACACAAGATCAGTGCCACCCCCATGCCACCCACTGGCCCTTGGCCTTAAATCCAACAGAATTTTTGCTGGAAGAGTCGGATGCTCAGGGAAGGGCAAGGTGAGAACAGGATTTCCAGGGTACAGTGGCAAAACTTCCAACCCTAAGTGGGGGCTGGAGGGTAGTGACCACTGAGCATGGGGAAAAGCACACAGGGCCAGACTGAGAGGTGGGGAAGTCCAAGTCTGGCTCCGTTAGCACAAGCGCTTGTATGTGCAGATGTAGGCTTTGCAGCTGGGACATGTGTGTGTCACATCCTTGAAGTCATTGATGAGGCAGGGGATCAAGCAGCAGCCCAGGTCACACCTGAATTGAAGACAGAGATAGGCTGAGGCCTGAGAAGGCTCACGCAGCATATAGAGCCCCCCAGCAGCACCACCACCTACCAGTGCCCCACACCTACCCCATGAAGCAGCAGAAGAAACCCAGCACAAAGTTCATCAGGCCTATCTCGTAGGAGATCTTGGTGGTGATGGCCTGCTGGCAGTGAGGACACACTGTCTGCACTGGTGCGCCTTCAAAGATCTCTCCCTGCAGTACTGTCACCGTGGTGGCTGCCCCTGATGGAACCAATACTGTGGCCGTGTGGCCCCCAGGGCCAGGGTAGGACCCTGGTGGGTAGGGTCCTGGTGGATAATAGCCCATAGGTGGGTGAGGGCCTGGAGGAGGATAGAAACCTGGAACAACACAGAGAGGTCACTGCCTGGCTGGGAGAACACAGAACATATGATCCCAACACTCAAAACACAACCCACAGCTTCTTGTCTTCCCCAAGAGTGCCAGAGTGTCAGCAGGAAGAGGCCCTATAGCTAAGGACTTGGATCAAGGTGACCATTTATAATGACCCATCTGATCCCTACCATATTGACTGAGACCAACACCGATGTGGCAGAGGGCTAGGAGCACAGCTCAGCTCTACTTAACTCCCTGCCTCTGGCATGCCAAGACTATTCTCTTATGCCTGCAAGGGTGAGGACTTAAGAGGCAGAGCACCATTCCTCTCGTGCATACAGAGCTTCAAAGACAACCCAGCCTGACCCCAGACACTGCAGGAGCCACTCACTGTGGGCCTGAGTGTAGACCAGTGAGCTACTGGTGAGCAAAGGTCTAGGCCTCCACCGGAGGCTTACGTCCTTAATAGAAAAGACTCCCATCTTACTACAGTCCTTAGCATGAACCACTGCAGCCTTCCTCGGTGGATGCCAAGTTCCTCCTAGCTACTACTTTCATTTTATATGGAGTGACTGATGACTTTCCAGAGTGAATTTTCATAGGTCAACTCACCTGCAGGCATGTAGGTGCCATCTGCATTCATGTGGGGGGGCACAAAGCCAGTCTGAGGTGCTGGATGGCCAGGTGGCTCATAGGGTGGGGGGGCAATGTCAGCAGAGGGCAGTGGCATGCCTGGTGGCGGCTGCATCACAGCTGGAGAGGTTCGGCCTGGATAGAGATGGGCAGAAAGAAGATGGCTCAGCTGATCTCCACACACAAGCAGGACACAGAGTGACCCTGAAGCAGGATTTGAAAAGCCTCAACTACACTTGGAATAGAGAGCTGTGACAAAGACCCCAGAAGGCAGAGGTCAGGAAAGACCCTTAAGACAAGAGCCAATGACAAGGTACTGGCCCAGCAGTCCCATTTATGGACCTTACCAGACCTCTACCATTGACAATTTAACATCCTTACCTGGGGTAGGTGGGGCTCCACTTTTTTCCTCCAGTAGTGGGGCTGAAGGACCTCCTGGATAAGGAGGTGGTGGCTCATTAGACATCTTTGTTGCTGATACTTCTGGATCTGGAGGAGAAACAAATTTAGCCCCTTGCTTCCATGCAAGGCCACTAGGTTGTGACCATCTTCAGATGGCCATCAACCCGAGCACAGAAGTGTTTTCTCCAGCTCCTCTCAAGGATTCCCTGGCTCAAACTCAGGTACCTGAGCACCCAGGTACCAGGAACAATCCACCAGAGCTACCATCCTTTATACTCCTCCATGGTAACCCACATTTCTTTGGAAGCTAGAGGGTAAGGACAGAACTCTGATGACAAGGCCCAGAAGTCCTGTCTGAGAACCTAACCCCAGCCACTACCCAAGGAAGCTTGGCACCTACAGTCTCCCAACTCTTAACTGAGCCATGGAGGGGCAGACTTTTTCCACAGGCTGCAACATGGTTTGGAAAGGGGTGATTTCTTACCTCAGATTCCTGGTGTTGAGAATGGAAGCAGGTGAGAGTAATTCAGCTGGTACAGATCTAGGAGGCTATTTTAGGCAAAGAGAGAAAGCAACACCTTCAGCCGCAGGCTTCCGGGTAGGCTAGTTCCCCATGCTTACTCATAGCTTACTCCCTACTCCCCTAGTGGCATACTGCTGAATCCTCTGTGTGCCCACCATTCCCCATCCTATAGATCCAACCCCCATGTTTGAAAGGAAGCAAAAGGAGTCAGCTGTGGGTTGGTGTCGAGCACTGGCTTGTCTCCTGTTTTGCTTGGGAGGTATGAAAAGGAAAGAGTCAAAGGAAACAATTTGTTTTATTCCTTTCATCAAGTGCCTGAGTACCTGCTATAAGGCAGTAGTGGTGAAGCAGACACACTCAGGTCTTGACTTCACTCTATTTAACATAAAAGACTAATCATTAGTAGCATTTTGAAGTTGAGACTGCCTTTTGTTAACTGAAAAGCAGTAACAAATGGAAAAACTCCAGTACTATGGTATGTTCAGTAAAAATGACATTTCTAGCAAAGCCCTTATACTAAGTCCAAACACAGAAGCACCAAGCCACTTCAATTTTTTTTCCCTCTTTGAAATAGAGTCCTACTGTGTAGTCCAATCTGGCCTTCAACTCTTCATCCTTCTGCCTTGCCTACCATGTGCTAGGATATAGGCATATACCAGGACAACTTGCTTCCTAAGTTTAACAAATCGGGGGCGGGGGCAGGGGCAGAGGGATCGGATCCAAGCTTTGGAGTCAATTTTGTTTGATGTCTGGGGTTGGGGATTTAGCTCAGTGGTAGAGTGCTTGCCTAGCAAGTGCAAGGCCCTGGGTTCAGTCCTCAGCGCTGGGGGAAAAAAAAAAAAAGACAAAATTTTGTGGTGATGTGAATAGGAATGGCCTTCATAGACTAGTGTTTTAATGTCCACAGAGAGGAGCAACTCTAGGAGGTGTGGCCTTGTTAGAGGAAGTGTGTCACTGTGGAGGCGGGCTTTGAGGTCCCATATATGTTCAAGCCATGTCCAGTGGTACAGTCCAGTTCCCTGCTGCTTTCGGATCAAGATGTAGAACTTTCAGCTCCTCCTCTAGCATCATGTTTGCCTGCATGCTGCCATGCTTTTCATCCTGATAACAGACTAAACCCCTAAAACTGTAAGCCAGCCCAAATTAAATGTTTTCCTTTATAAGAGCTATGGTCATGGTATCTTTTCATAGCAATAAAATACTAACTATGACAAATTTTAATACAAGTTGGAGAAACTCCATTCTTGATCAATATAGCTTAACACTCTCCATGCCCTTCTGCAAGAAGTTACTGCTCTGCCTGCACCCAACTGCAGCTTCAGCCTATCTTTCCTAAGGCAGGCCCACATTTGAGGCTTCCAGGAACAGGTCCACTACTTGAGATTATAGGACTACTGCTCTACAAAGCCACCCTCACGTTTCACAGCCCCAACCTACAGATAATGTCTGAGTCTGAAATGCCATGAGCATTTCATTCAGCTGCTTTGGGTGCTGCTTGTTCCAAGTAACAATCAGAATGAAGACCTGCTGGATGTCCCAGCAGTGTCTGGCTTCCCCTTACTCTGTATGAAGCTCTACCAGGGAGTTGCATACTCTACCTTTGCTTAGCCACACCCACCCACCAGACTCTTGCTTCTCTGAAGAACTCCAGATGGGGGTTTTCACAGGAACAAGGATGAAACTGACATTCTGACATACCTACCAAAACTTAGGGAACACTACAGAGCCATGGAATCAAGCAAGGCTGCTTTATTCCCCCAACCCCCAGCCCAGGCCATGTGGAGTATGACTCCGCTCCAAAGAGGCAAAAAAAAACAAAACAAAACACAAAACAAAACAAACAAACAAACAAAAATAACCCCACAATCTTGTAACACGTGTGGTCGACAAAGCACCAGAACTCCATTTCCCATTCCCTCAGGATCAGGCTTGTATCCAGTAAACAGGACAGCAAAGAGATCTGGAGTCAGACAAACCTGGCCTCAAGTCCAGGGCATTAGTATGTCAGAGTCCTTACCTTTCTGTACGAGAAACCTCTTTCCCCAGGCCCAGACATAACCCAGTCTCTAGTACATCCTTGGGGAGGAGGTCCTGCTGAGAGGTGTTCTGCAGTTACATCATAGTGATAGCTATAAAGCTCTATTAACATATTAAAAGCACCAAACATAATTAACAGTGGGAAATCATTCTTACAAATAAATTGTTAAGCAATTCACTGTGGTATAAACATCACAGATTATAGTAATTAATATGGCTATGAAAACACTTAAATCTTTGAGATTCTGTTGTAGATGCAATTCATCCTTCACCAAAACATTATGTAGCACATGGCTGTACTTGGAAAAGAACATGATTCCAAAATAGGGCCCTGAAGGCAGTATTGCCTGGTATGATACCTAATCTTGTCAACTTGGCACATCTGGGAAACAAGAACCTCAACTGAAAAACGGACTCTGTAAGACGACCTTCAGTATGTTTTCTTGGTTGCTAACTGATGTAGGAGATGCCAGCCCACCTTGGACAGTAAGAACCCTGTGAGTCTGGCAGCAAACCAATACATAGTGCTCTTTGGTTTTGTTTGTTTTTTAAGGTTTCCTCTTGAAGTCCTGTCCTGGCTTCCCTTGGTGGTGATAGACTGTAACCTGTAAGCTGTAAACTAAAACAAACCCCTTCCTCTCCAAGTTGCTTTTAGTTACGGTATTTTATCACTATGATAAATTGCTGTTGATTTAAAAAAAAAAAAAAAGACATTTGGCATAGGAAGTGAGAAAGAAATGGGGCCTGGACTTTTGGTGTGCCAGGTTCAGTTGCCTTCCTCTGGGTCTCTTGCTTCCCAGAGAAGTTTCAAGTACAAGGCCTCAGGAGGCCTGAGGACTGCCTCTGGCATTCTGCTTGGCTCTCAACTATTTATTATGCAGTGCAATTGATCTAAAGCCAAGACAGAGCCTGGCAGCCTGTCTGCTGATACAGGGCCCCTTGAAGTGGGGAGACAGCAGAGTTCATTATCTCCTGGCCAGCACAGCTGTAGGGTCTGAAGGCAAACTTAATTCTCTGGTTGAAACTGCAACAGAGGGTAACCAACATACTCCCATGGTCTTTCTGTTTCACAAAGTTTCAGTGAGCAGGCCAAGTCCAGGAGAGGAAAGGAGAATTTTGAATCCTAAGACCTATTGGGGCAATCAGCCTGCTCAGCTCTGTGCACAAGTTCTCACAGGACTGAAGACAAGTACTGAGGGGATGAGGTAAAAGGTGACAGAGAGGACAAGGCTCAGAGGGACTTTCTGACATGACCTTTTCCAGGTCTACAAGACCAATGGTTCTCCAAACTTTTGTTCTGTGGACTTCTTTACACCAGATTATCAAGGACTTCAAATAGACTCTCTCTCAATACGGTATTAGAAAATATCTCTTAAGTACTTTTTTTTTTCTTTTGGTTTTTCGAGACAGGGTTTCTCTGTGTAGTCCTGGCTGTCTTGGAACTCACTTTGTAGACCAGGCTGGCCTCGAACTCAGAAATTCGCCTTCCTCTGCCTCCTAAGTGCTAGGATTAAAGGCGTGTGCCACCACTGCCCGGCATCTTAAGTATTTAATAAAGAATTTTAAAAAATTAGTTTGGCCATGCAGTAGTGATACAAGCCTTTAATTGTAGCACTCAGTAGGCAGAGTTCTCTGAGTTCAAGGCCATCCAATCTACAGAGCTAGTTCCAGGACAGCCAGGGCTACACAAAGAAATCCTGTCTCTAAAAAACAAAAATAAGACAAAAAAATTAGTTCAAGGCTAAGGATGTAGCTTGGGGAGAGCAATTTCCTTATACATGCAAGGTCCTAGATTCAACCCTACCACCGTAAATAAATAAATACTAAATAAATAAATATGTTTCCAAAATTCCAATTAATACTCACCAATAGAACAAAACTTAACAGTGGCAACAAATCAATTACAAGTTTGGGAATGCTGGTTCAGCATGTGGGAGGTTGTGGCAGGAAGACTGCTGGAAACTTGAAGTAAAATGAGCTACAGAGTAAGACAAAGCCTCAAATAATCCAAACCAAGGGTCAAAGAGATGGTTCAGCATTTAAGAGCACTTGTTCAGTGCTCAGCATCCACACAGGAGCTCACTACCATCCAGTTGTCGGGAATACAATGCCCTCTTCTGACATCCACAGGCACCAGGCACATATGTGATAAACCCTGCCCAAGACTTATACACATACATTTTTTTTTTTTTTAAATCCAAACCAGTGGGCCATGAAGATGGCTCAATAAGTCAAAGTGTGTGCTATGCAAGTTTAGGAACCTGAGCTTGATCCTTGGAACCCATAAAAAGTGAAGAACCAACTCACGAAGTTGTCTGTTTACCTCCATGCAAGTGCTGTGGTACACAAACACCCTCACAGAAAATAAATGCAAAGAAGTTACTAGCAACAGAGAAAGAGACAAAAATTGTTTCCCTATAGTATGAAATGACTTTGTTTATATTCAACACAATACATGAATGCCTAAATCACCAGTCTGTTTGTGTTGGAATTCTTTGGGGGAGGTGGGGAGCACAGAAGAGGGAACTTAGGACTTCAAATGCTTTACATGCTTTTTTTGCCATTAACACCCCCATCAATTGCATTAAAAAAGAAAAGTGTGCTTATGTCTGTTTATCTGTTCACTAATGTGTGTTTATGGGTGGTTTTGGAGCCCAGAAGAAAGTGTCAGTTTCTTGAGCTGTAGTTACAAGCATTTGTGAGCCACTTGAGGTGGGTGTTGGGATCTGAACGCGGTCCTTAGGATTGAGTGCTCTTAACTGCTGAGCTATCCCTCTTGCTCTTTGACAGCTGTGTTTCTGGGCATGAGGAGGAAAACAGCAGCTAGTTTGAATCATAACTTGAACAACTAACTACAACTGTGTATATGCTTTACTCACAGACAGCCATACTTTACCTCGTGACAAGGCCTTGTGTAAAGCTAATGGAAAAGGTTTTACCATACTCAGTTTGGTAAGCTCTCGTTGCTATTAACTTTTTCAGACTTTAC